TTAAATATTAATGCAATACTTAAATGCAGCGATCAATTCTGAGTTCTTCTGCAGTTTATTGTTGCTTATCGCATCTATTCCTCTCCACCTATTGTGATGAAGACCCAATCAAGAGCCTTCCGCAGGAGCTTGCTTAAATGCCGCCCGATGGTGCAGCTTTTAGGCTAGTATATATATATATATATATATATATATATATATATATATATATATATAATAAAGAACAGTAAGCTATATAATCCGGTGTTCTTATAGATATTTTTATTTTTACAAAATAGTGCTCGATGTAAATTTAAAGAGCATTAATATTATAATTTGATTTATTTAAAATATGTTTTTTTTCGCTACACAGTTCTAACCATGTTTCAAAAATGGAAGCTAAAAGCTACGAATTTAATTTTGTAATTAAATTAAAGACATTAGTTCTATTTCATCCTCAAGCGATTTTTTTTCGCTTGAGGATGAATTACAAAATTAAATGTGTAGCGAAAAAAATATTTTAAATAAATCAATTTATATATATATATATATATATATATATATATATATAGGGTAAATTGTCACCATTTTATATTTTTTATTTCACGCAGGCGCGTTGTTTCTTTTTGTCGACCCTACGGTATAGTAAGATCAGTTTGGTGGCACCGTCTGCGAGAAAAAGAGCACGATGGCACAATTAACTTCACCAGAAATTTGGAAACGGCATACTGTACTGTTGGCATTCTTGTCGAAAGCTCCAACACGAACATTTCAGAGTGTTTGGGTGTCAATCTGAGAACAGTTCAGAAAATTCGGAAAGAGTTAGATGAGTCTAATGATGATTACGAAGGTAGTTGAAGTGATCACTAGTGATGGCAACGTTATGCCTCCATTAATCTTCCCATAGGGTCTCAGACTCAACACTGTGTCCTACATCAAGTGACTTGAGGAGATAGTGCTGAGCAAGAAGTAAAGCATAGCGTTTCCAAATATATCTGTTAAAATGAGATGACAGTGCTATTTTCATTTTGCATAATTTAGACGACAGATTCATCCATCGCACCCTGTGTCTACATAGATGTGGTTTGAATGAGAGTCACAAACGTAGACATAGATACAGTAAACAATTAGACCCCCCCTTTTTGGCAAAGTACCACCTTGTGCGGAAAATCTTATTCTTGGCCCCAACCGATAGAGAGGTTGATTTATTTGTGGAAGATTTTAGAAGAATGCAGAACATTTACATGGAAGAAAGCGAGCTTGCATCCGGATAGAAAATGAACAAGTACACAATGAAAGTTTACAAATACACACTTGTCTCCTTTTTGAGAGACAGAGTTCGTAGCTCGGGGTATGTATTTACCACAATTACTTAAATATATCTTAAAATACTAAAGAGTAAATTTATTCAATAAAATCGCTACTGGCTTCAACCACGCCCTCCAGACGACTTTGGAATCTTCTGAAACAGTTTCATTGTTTAAGTTGGTGAATGCTGCCATAATGCTTGCCTTTAGTTCATCTTTGGTGTTACAAGGAGTTTTGTTGGTTTCTTTCTCAATTGCCCCCGACTCATAATAATTGCAGTCTAGGGATTTAGGTGGCCAGATGTAAGGGATGATGTGGTTGTAGAAATTGTCTGACAGCCATAACTGGGTACTCCTGTCTGTGCAGAGTCCTGTTGCCAGGTATAAAGTCTTCCAGCAGTCACCCTCTTGACCTAGAACAGCACTACCTCCTCTTGATGTAGGCCACCGTGTTGAGTTTGAGGCCCTGTGGGAAGATGAATAGAAGCATAACGTCGCTATCACTAGTGATCACTTCAACTACCTTCGTAATCACCATTAAACTCATCCAACTCTTTTCGAATCGTCGACACTGTCCTCAGATTGACACCCAAACATTCTGAAATGTTCGTATTGGAGCTTCTGGCATGAATGCAAAGCAGTACAGCATGTTGTTTCGAAATTTCTGGCCGAGTGAATTGTGACATGGTGCTCTTTTTCTTACTCACGATGCCCAACTGATGCAATCGACGAAATAATTTACCCATAGAACACTGTATATGTGTGTGTGTGTTAAGTGTGGGTGTGTGTGTGTAACTCCAGTTGACAAAAACAAGAAAATTAAATTATCTATTATAAAAAATTTAAAACCACTCACCTTATCGTCAAGAACAACAACTCTACTGCAAGATGTAAATTACAGAGAAGCAATATTATTTCTGAATTCATATGTCCCTTAAGGAACTGCGATCGTGATCAAACCAAATTCATGAATAATTATATTGGACATACCACTACATACCTATCAAGAAGACTCACGTTACATTTCTCTGGCCATAGTTCGATTAGGATCCATTTAAACGCACTTGGAAACCTACCAATCTCCGTCCACAACATACTAATAGAAAATACAACTATAATTGTCTCGTCCACATGTAAAATAGACTAAAAATAATGGAAGCATTTATAAAATCGGGATACTGAAAATAACATCAATCAGCTATGTGATAAGTTTTATATTTATCTTATATATATATATATATATATATATATATATATATATATATATATATATATATATATATTCAGTTGTATGGATATGAGTTTGTTACAAGCTCATATCCATACAACTGAATATGTTAGTTCTATCACTGATATGAGCGCTTACCAATAAGTACCGCGCATATATATATATATATATATATATATATATATATATATATATATATATATATATATTGGTACACATCCCCATTTAATCAAATGGTTAGTATTAAGTTAGGACAGAAGTTTCCCAATTTAATTGAGAAACACTTCCCGAGAAATAATCCTTTTAGTAAGATTTTTAATAAAAATACACTTAAATTAGGCTATAGTTGTATAGATAAACTTCAAAAAATTATGAACAAAACACAATAATAAAATTTTAAATCAACATTTATACCTAAGTAACAATAGCGATCCCAAAGCAACAACAGATAATGATACCAGCTTCTGTAATTGTAGAAATCCTAATGAATGCCCATTACAAAATTGGCTCTAACATAATCTCTTATTTACCTAAGTACTATTTCATCTTGAGAAAATCCAATAGTTAAAACATTTTATATCGGTAGTACCAAAAATTCCCTTAAAACTCGGTGGTATCAACACATATCATCTTTCAACAACAATGCGTATTGTAACAGAACGTCCCTTTCGAAATATTTTGGCACTTAAAAGAAGTTAACAAAACTCCTACGGTAAAATGGAAAATATTAAAAATAACTAGAAATTGTAAATCCTTATATGATACATGAAAAAAATGCATATTATTAAGTTTCTAAACAATAAAAATCTGTTAAACCAAAGAAATGAATGCCGCCATTATCTACTTTTACTGTAAAATATAGTTAAAAAAAAAACATAAATAATTACGTATTACAATTGCATATTACTTTATTAGTATATAATGGTCCACCCAACATTTATTCGATTTATTCAAATTTAATATTGTCATGTTTTACCGACTATTCAGTACAATTAACAACCTATATAGATGTTACTATATTTTTAATTTTACCTATTGGCCCCTTTAAGAAACTTTCCGAGTATATTAAAAAAATCTTTTTTTTTTAAATTAAAAAAGAATCCGTTTCTGACAAATTTATGTCTACTTCAACAAATCGGCAATCCATACTTGGATACATCAATGATACATTTGTCGCTGAAACTGTTCCCTAGTATCTTTGGATGATATGTCTAAGCATCACTCTTCTTGACATGTAAAAATAACCCACCCATCTCCACTCTCTGACCTTGTTTTTATATTTTAGCGTAGACGTGACGTTTAATTGGTTAATCTAGACACACCCATAATTATATTTTTAATTCTAACCTTATGTCCCCGCTTTAACTTACGAAAAGAGGTAAAGATTTGTTTTTAAATTTACCTAATAAATCATTTTTATTATTAGTTATCTACCATCACCTGAAGAGGTACCATTTTAGTACCGAAACATAAAAGTTTTTGTGTAGCGATGTAAAATATTTTATTGTAATTTATTATAATACAAAAATTATAATAATATTTTGGTCTACTTTGTATTGACCATTTTTTTTTTAATTAAATGCTACGAACTGTGGATTTTTACTCCATCTGTTTTTTCTCTCATTAGGATATATATATATATATATATATATATATATATAATATATATATATATATGAAAAATATATAGAAAATAGGAAGGAACTGGTTAGGTAAATAATCCAAAGTCCTTAGTATTTTAGTTATTATTTTTTAAAAAATAGTGCCCGATACAAAAGTAGAGCATAAATATAATTATTTATTTAAAAATATGATTCCAAAACGCTACATAAGAAGTCTCATGTTTCAAAACAAGAGCCGAAAACTTCAATTTCAATTTTTAAAACACGTAAATTTGAGATATACGTTATTAAAAAAAAAAAATTCGCTTGAAGATGGAACAGAGCTTATTTTAACTCAATTTAATTTAAATAATTATATTGAAGTTTTGAAACATGAGACTTTTTATGTAGCGTTTTGGAATCATATTTTTAAAAATAAATATATATATATATATATATATGTATATTCAGTAATAATATACTTTGGTATTTCATATGTACGTATTTAAATTAACGAACCTTCTAGAGACAAGTGTTTCATATTAGCTAATACATAAAAAATATGAAACTATATGAGCGTGTTGAAGACTTAACGCGAGGTTAGCAACCTCATCTATCGGACTGTTTGTATTGTGAGTTCGATCCCCGCGGGTTTGCGTGTTTTTGTGACAAAGTAATCTAACTGAAATAAAATTTGGGAAGGGAAAAATAAAAATAGGCCGAAAATGAAGGTCAAAAGAGAAGTCGAGTAGAAAGAAAGGTTAAATATTGACAAAGCATAGAAGGCAGAGGAGAGGCTACGTCGGGGAGAGGAAGACGAAGTGGAAAGTAACCAAATGGAAAGAAATACGAGACAGACATATCAGAATAAAACTTCCGTCTAAGATGGCAGTTAGACTTTCGAGAACTCTCCTCCCACGAACGTTACTAGTGAGGAAGGAATTCGAATTTCTTTCAAAGAAACAAATACATCTTATATTTCGCTTTTCTCTTTCTTTTCTTTTCGCTTTCTTTTTTCTTTCTTTTCTTTTTACTTTCTTTTCTCTTTTCTTTCTTTTCTTTTCATCTTCTTTTCTTTTTTCTTTTCTTTTTCTTTCTGGGTGTAAAAACTTATAGTTCAGCTATGGGCCAACTGCAGCCCGTTTCGCTTTCTAAATGACACGCATAATTGAATAAAAGAAATAAAGTTATTTGACAATTTTCTTTGTTCTCACTTGTTCACACACACACACTTTCTCATCCATAACCACATGCCCGAACAATGATGTTTCATGAATTTTGTAAATTTTTATTGACGCTAACGTTTTCATCATTTTAAACCATTAGCGATTTTCACTAAGGAAGATACGTGTAAACAACTTTTATTTTGAAAAGAAACGTTCATAAAAACATGGATAAGAAATACATTTTTTATTTAAAAAAAAAAAAAAATTTCGAATAAATAACTAAGAAGGAAATCACAAGCAGCGACATTTGTACCCGAGTGTTTTCACTCGGGCCGCTGGTCCAAGCTAGTCAGATCCGGTCCAAGCTAGTCATAACTGTGATACTACTACCAGCACAGGGACGGATCCTTGTGCCAGGTAAGTATGTTATCTAAGTAAATAACAGCAATAATAATGCTTGTCTTTATCTGTTCCACCTGCCGTAGTGCCGTTTAGTGCACAGCATTAATGGTAAGATGGTTCTTATTTGGGGTTCTGTGAAACTTGAAGAATTTGACTTGTAAACAAAGAAATGAAACATCTAAAGAAAGCACCTTTAGGAGATAAAAAGGAGGTTAAATGAGATCAGTACTTTGCAAAATGGCGCACCAGGCTGTGAGTTTTATAAGTGAGCAATGAAAATACAATTCCCCAAAACAACAGACCAGATATGGTAGCAATATTCAATGTCCGGACGAATGTGTAAGATGGATACTGACAAAAAGAATTATCTGACATGACCCAATGAACCAATCATTGTAGCAGCAGACAGCAATTGATTCAATCTAATCAATCGACTTTGTGTCATTGGAAAACGTGAGACGAAGTCGGCACAATGAATTTCTCTTCAGGAGGTTAACATTAGCCATTGTTGATAGAAGGCAAAAAAAAAGGTTCTCTATGATGATTAAAAGATAGTAATTTCCCTAATATCTACAGTAGTCGATGGGGGCACCTCGGCGTGGTGTAATGGTTAGCAAGCTTGTCTTGGTAGAACATATTACAACTGAGTAGTGAGTTCGATCCTCACTGGGTACCCCATACTTTCGGACTTGTGCCACATTTGAGCTACGCTTGGAAAATCACTACAGTAGTCGATGGGAAGTCAAGTTGCGAATGCTGTTTAATTAGCGAGATGGAACCGTAAGTTCCATTCTTCTTTTCTCGCCCTTCTAGTATGGTTTTTTTGTTTTTCTGCCATCAAAAACATTAAATGCAACGTCAATCGCCATCTTCTGTCTTCCTGAAACAATTCATTTTATTGTCCTTTCTCCTCACTAAAGTCTTTCCATTCTCATTCACTCCCAGTAACCCCTCGCGTCTTAGTGGCATTATCGCCATCTTCTGTCTTCCTGAAACCTGTTCTTTTATTGTCCTTTCTCCTCACTAAAGTCCTCTCATTCTCTTTCACTCCCAGTAAACCCTTGCGTCTTAGTGGCATTATCGCCATCTTCTGTCTTCCTGAAACCTGTTCTTTTATTGTCCTTTCTCCTCACTAAAGTCTTCTCATTCTCTTTCACTCCCAGTAAACCCTTGCGTCTTAGTGGCATTATCGCCATCTTCTGTCTTCCTGAAACCTGTTCTTTTATTGTCCTTTCTCCTCACTAAAGTCTTCTCATTCTCTTTCACTCCCAGCAACCCCTTGCGTCTTAGTGGCATTATCGCCATCTTCTGTCTTCCTGAAACCTGTTCTTTTATTGTCCTTTCTCCTCACTAAAGTCTTCTCATTCTCTTTCACACCCAGTAACCCCTTGAGTCTCAGTGGCATTATCGCCATCTTCTGTCTTCCTGAAACCTGTTCTTTTATTGTCCTTTCTCCTCCCTAAAGTCTTCTCATTCTCTTTCACTCCCAGTAACCCCTTGCGTCTTAGTGGCATTATCACCATCTTCTGTCTTCCTGAAACCTGTTCTTTTATTGTCCTTTCTCCTCCTTAAAGTCTTCTCATTCTCTTTTCACTCCCAGTAACCCCTTGCGTCTTAGTGGCATTATCACCATCTTCTGTCTTCCTGAAACCTGTTCTTTTATTGTCTTTTCTCCTCACTAAAGTCTTCTCATTCTCTTTCCTCCCAATAACCCCTTGCGTCTTAGTGGCATTATCGCCATCTTCTGTCTTTCTGAACCTGTTCTTTTATTGTCTTTTCTCCCTCACTAAAAGTCTTCTCATTCTCTTTCACTCCCAATAACCCCTTGCGTCTTAGTGGCATTATCGCCATCTTCTGTCTTCCTGAAACCTGTTCTTTTATTGTCCTTTCTCCCTAAAGTCTTCTCCCTCCCAAACCCCTTGCGTCTTAGTGGCATTATCATCTTCTGTCTTCCTGAAACCTCTTTTATTGTCCTTTCTCCTCCCTAAAGTCTTCTCATTATCTTTCCCCCAGTAACCCCCCTTGCGTCTTAGTGGCATTATCGCCATCTTCTGTCTTCCTGAAACCTGTTCTTTTATTGTCCTTTCTCCTCCCTAAAGTCTTCTCATTATCTTTCACTCCCAGTAACCCCTTGCGTCTTAGTGGCATTATCACCATCTTCTGTCTTCCTGAAACCTGTTCTTTTATTGTCTTTTCTCCTCACTAAAGTCTTCTCATTCTCTTTCACTCCCAATAACCCCTTGCGTCTTAGTGGCATTATCGCCATCTTCTGTCTTCCTGAAACCTGTTCTTTTATTGTCCTTTCTCCTCACTAAAGTCTTCTCATTCTCTTTCACTCCCAGGAACCCCTTGCGTCTTAGTGGCATTATCGCCATCTTCTGTCTTCCTGAAACCTGTTCTTTTATTGTCCTTTCTTCTCACTAAGGTCTTCTCATTCTCTTTCTATCCCTATAACACCGCATTTTTCCCTGGTGCCCCGACTACATGAATCTAAGCGTGCTACTAGATTGGCAATTAGGTCTCACTGTTTTACTGTTCACCTAGTTTAGGTGCAACTGCAACTTCTACTCTAACAGTTTCTTTTCTCTCACTTCCTCCCTGTGGAACTCCTTTTCCTATTTCTTGCTTTCCTGATAACTATAAATTTAAAAAGTTAAATGCAACGCCGTCTTCTGTCTTCTTGAAACCTGTTCCTTTTTTTGCTCTTTCCTCAATTCACCTCATTTTCAATTTTATCATTCTCATTCATTTTTACTCTCTGTAACCCTCAGCGTTATGGAGGCATTGTCGCTTGAGGTGAAATGATTAAAAAAAAGTAACAACGACATTACACTGTTCAACGTTAATTTGATGGAATCCAAAAGTGAATAAACAATTATTTTATGTTTGAATATTTTAATCTTGTATTCTTATCAGACGTTGGTAACACAACATAACACGGTTAACGCCATCGGATATTGATAATCTGCCATGAACTCTCGGCGCTATTCTGAATATGAAAGTGGAAAATCCTGTTTTGGTCTGAAATGTTATTTATTACTAAGTTTTTTTGAAAACTGTCTGAGATATAATTTAATCAGTTTGGAATTCGCTCCTTTTTTCTTTCTTTAGGACAATGAACAAAGAGATAGAAAAAAAGAGAAGGGGACAGAAAGAGAGAAGAAGAGAAAGAGAGAGAATAATAGAAGAGAAAAAAAGAGAAAGAGAGAGAAGAAAAGTAAGAGAGAGAGAGAGGGAGAAGAAGAGTAAAAGAGAGAGAGAGAACAAGATGGAGTATAAATCGACCGAAATATAAAGTAGAAAAGATGAGGATATTAGTATAGACGCATCAAGTCATGATGATTTGATATCTTAGAAATTCTTGTCGTCGTCAGTTTGTAGTGTTCACAAAGTTTAAGAAGTGAAAGGTAAACGATTCGATATTTTAAGAGTTTAAAATGTTCTCCATTTATTTAGTTTTATATATGAAAAGCTTCAACTCAAACGAATGATCTTCTAATTAGCCTTGTATTTCATTTGCATATATGCACCTTGTATCACATTTGCATATATGTACCTTGTATCCCATTTGCATATATGCGCCTTGCATCACATTTACGTATATGCACTTTGTACCACATTTGCATATGTGTATCTTGTATCACATTTTCATATATATATACCTTGTATATTTGCATATATGCACCTTGCATCAAATTTGCATATAAGACTGGAAACTGTAAATGAGCAGGATGAAAAAGTGGAGGAAGAAAGCAGACAGACAAGAACAGGAATTATGTTAAATATCCAGAAATCTCTTCCTCGCAGTTGGTTGATTTTAATGTTTTAAAGCGCGGACGTATGAGTGGAAGGGAAGTAAACGAGAACGAAACAAGATGGCAAAAATAGATCTTCAATGCTCAGGTACCAAGAAATGGTATCTTCTGCCGAAATCTGACCAATTCACAAATGATTGTACTCGTTCAGTTCTCTCCGACCCCCCCACCAAAAAAATACAATTCGTGCAATTAAAATTCTTCTATCTTTTCGACTTGAACAAGCTGCGCGCCATTTTGTTAAACTTTCCAGCAAAAATTACATACTCCATTGGACGATTATCCTGACAAAAACGTTTTGAAGGCGTCAGAAGGAAATCACAAGCCCCACCCAGGTTGGACGAGCAAGAGGCGGGGATGTTTACACAGGTAACAGTCGGGCGGGACTGACGAGGAAAAGATTCTCGACAATGTAAGTTGTTTTTTTTTTTTGTCAGTTGTTGGCAGTGTTCCTCAAAAATAGATCTGCAAGTATCTTCTTGCTGCTAATTTGGTGGAGATATTTGAGCTGAAAAAAAAATCAGCGATGAAAGAAGTAGAGACGTTACGTATTGAAACAAATATGTGTTTCCTTTAGTAAAAGGAACTTCTCCTGACTCATCAACAGTTACAGGAGTCATAACTCTAACGTGAGCTTTTCATAATCTATTTTTAGTTTGCAACTGGTGATGACGAAATATTACTTTGCACATAGCGTAAGTAGCATTTCAAGAACTGGCTGTAGGGTTTATTT